CTAGAAGCATTTTGATGTTTTGGGGGTGCTTGATTTCCTGTTTGAGTGTTTCATTATTTTTAAAGATTTTATTTATTGGTTTGTTAGAGGAAGATCACAAGCAGGTGGGGGGTGGGAGTCGCGGGCAGAGGGAGAAGCAGGCTCCACACTGAGCAGGGATCCTGATGTGGGACTCGATCCCAGGACCCTGGGATCATGACCTGAGCCAAAGGCAGACGCTTTACCAACTGAGCCACACAGGCGTCTCTGTTCTATTTTTTTTTTTTTTAAATATCTGTAATTCTCAGAATTGTCTGTTAGGTCCAGTGTAAAAAATTAAAAAATGTCTATCTCCTGTGTGTTAGAGAAAGTGGACCCGGAGCCCAGGAGGAGGAGAGAATGGAAGAGATAGTTGCCTCCCACACGGTTGGTAATCCATGCCCCCGGTTTGGATCCTTAAGAGATGTGTTTCCCATTGGCCCTCTTGCAGAGGGGGTGCAGAGGATATCTTGTCTTCCTCCAGGCTAATAAGAAAGCAGTTCAGTGATTTCCTTTTCTCTCACCCTGTAGGCAGGGCTTACATGGAGCTTATGTCTGAGCTGCCTCAGAAAGTGTGCTGATAATTCTACATTCCCCAAGGAGGGCCTTGAGACGGTGACCCTGCTCAGGCATCCTGGCGAGATTTGCAGGATAAATAAATGCCTCGCTGGGGATTTGCTAGGTAACTCCCTGTCAGCGCTGGGGGCAGAGATTTAAATATAAATTATCATTCCAACTTGGCAGGGACTTAGAGATGAGCCCCTTCTGTGCTCCTGGGAAGATTTACACAGCCCTTTCTCGTGGGTGCCAGGCTGCAGGGGTGGTTGCTGGGTGACACTCGGTACTGGGAATTGTCCTGGGCTGGCCTCCCTCAGCTAGCCCTGGGTCACGGGTTGTGGCTGATGAGCTCTGGCATCCTGCCCACACAGACACTTCTCCTGCTCCTCGGTCCCTCGGCCCTCCATGTCGGTCCCCACAGCCCTCTGTGTCCATCCCTGAATGATGCAAGAATAGTCCCTTCTACTATTTGGTTATAGGGAACCCCTACTGAATTCCCTTCTTAGATCCTTTCTGATCTCTATTTAAGTGGTTACTGCTTCTCCACCAGAATGAAATGTTGGCCACTTCACCTCTTTTTGCCTTTTCTTGCCATCACCTCTTTTCTTGCCTTCCTCGCTCTTATGGAAGGACCAGCTCTTTTCCTCGGGAAGCTTTATCGGCTCCTTGGTTTTCTGTGGTTTTGTCGCCAGCAAGCTCAGCTCTGGATCTGAGAATTTAATGGTCAGCCGGACCCTTAGCAAAATTCCAGAGAAGAGAGAGTTAAAAATCAGAATCCTGGGTCTCACTCTGGACCTCTTTAATCAAAGATCTTTGGCTCTGGGGCCCCCAAATTAAGCTCTGATATTTCTTAAGCATGCTAAAGTCTGGGAATGAAAACCCCAGATCCCAGAGTGGGGCCGGGGCAGGGCTTCCCTCTCTGGTCACACTCAGGCAGGTCAGCTTCTCCCTCCTTTCAGTGGAGTCTCCTTCTAGCACTGAACAACCTTCGTGCATGGCTTTGAAGGTCTTTGGAGGGAAGGGGCAGCTACCTGGAACAGCACGGGATGCAGAATCATCCCGAGAGAGGCCACGGCCTGAGAAGTCACCTAGCTCATGAATATTCATGCCAGCCATGTTGTCGTGTGATCACGCAGATCAATTCAAGGCCATGTCTGTAAGGCTTTGTGAGAGCGGGAAACAGGTTCTGGGAATAAGGAGGTAGGGAAGAAGATAGAGGTTAACGTGAATTGACAGGCAATAGGATTAGCACTCTCGCTCAATCCCGATCTTGCGAGTAACTAACAGTGGCCTGAAATTAAAGAATTAAACCATGAAGGCTCCCTTGACAACTGATCTGATAGGCCCAGAAGTAAATTTCAGGGACACTGTTGTCAGGCAAAAGGAGGGGAGAGCCGAGATAAGAGGTCCAGGAAGGAAGGAAGGAAGAGAAGGGAAGGGGAGCAAACACCTCTCCCTTTCTTTGCAATCCAGTGAGAGCGGCTTTGGTGCCCCTGGGGCTGAACCATGCACTGAGCTAGAGTTGCCAAGGCTTTTATTCACCTCTATAGCACTCTCTTCCTTACATCCAATTACGACTTTAAAATAGAGGCAAAAATGAAAAGAGGAGGAAGATAATGAAACATAAGTCAAATATGGCAGCTGGCGAATTTCTGATAATTGCTTTCCCTTGTAGCATTTCATTTCTGTTCCTGCATGTTGTACAGTAGCCTGTAGGGAGACAATAAAACAAACAAACAAACAAACAAACAAACAAAAAAAACACTACCACCACCAAAAAACAACTCCAAAGTGTTCAGGAAAACAATATCAATTGCACTTTAATAACACTCTTCATGGGAGACAGAATAGAGGTAAAGTAGCATTCTACGTTTGCTTCTTGCTGTCTTTAACATCATAAGAAAGCCTAGAAAAGTATATATACATCAATTCAGGGTAAATAAAATGATTCTCAATTTCCTTTCTCTTTCTTATGTCAATACCCTAAAAAAAGGTTAAAAAAAAAGGGGGGTGTTTACAGTACTCAAGGTAAAATATTTTCATACAATACTGGAAAAGACAAACTCTAACTCATGTAGGTAACCCACTTGATAGCCTGATTTTGGGGAAAAGGATCAATGCTTATCTACAATAGATCTCTTGGATCTCTTTTCGGTGAGGTTTTTCTTGGGTGGCCATTCCCCAGGTTAGCCCAACAGAGAACTCACTAGTTCTTGAAGGAAATTTTCAGAACAAATAATTTGAAGGTCTAACAATCTACTGGGAGATGCTATTTTCAATGTCATTTGTAGCTAAAACTTTCAATCAAAGTGTAGTTCTGTGATGTCCAGTCCACAGTCCCTTCTCCTTCCACCAGAAATGAGATCTAAGTGGAACCTTCAGCAAGCCTCACTCCTTCCATCCCTCACAGTGAAACCACTGGGGTCAGAGTAACTGATTTTGCTGTTGATCTTGAGATTCTGCCTACTTCCAAACACAGCCCAGAGTTTCCCGTGACTTTTACCCTAGTGGGAACCATGCCCTTCATTTAGAAAGAGTATTGGTGAGACTTAGCTATAGATTGTGAACAGGATCGTTTGTTGGGTTGCAGTGGAGTGAAGGAGCCAGAGTAGGAAAATGAGGTACTGGGCTCTGTTCTTTACATGATGTCCCTTGATTCATTACCTTTTCTATCCCTCAGCTTTGTGCGGTGTAAGGGTCCTACTTCAGTGGTAACACATTTTCTGTGATGCTTGACACCACTGTTCATGGTGCCCTTTCCAGATGTGGGATACTTCCAATCACTAATTTCCAAGTTAAATATTTCTTTCTTTTTCTTTTCTTCTTTCCAAAGTGAAATATTTCTTTAGATGGGGTTTTGGTCTACATGTAGAAATAAGAAAGTTGACCTGTAAGAACAAGTAACAGTATCATCCACTCCTGTAGAACTTCATTTTACTTTCTGGACTGGGATGGCCAATAGATTGGTTTTGTTGAGCTGTGACTTTTGCATGAAAGTCATCAGATAGAATTTCTTGCACTAACAGCAATCGAGCTGGGTACGGGGTAGGGCAAGGAATGCCCTTGAAGCTGCCTAGAGGCCCCAGACTCCTTTCTACAGAACAGACTGTGATTTCCCCGTAATTTGCTGTTCCACTAGCTTGGCTGTAATCTGTGTCCCTGTCAGTGTGGCCAACAGAATTTTACTTCTCCTCCCAAAGTCCTCTGTCCTCCACACTCTGTGTATAAAAGAGATGTCTTGGTAAACATTTAACAGCTAGTTCTCCAAAGAGGAAAAGCCCTGGCTTATCACGTTTGCCTACTTCCAGGAGTGTAAACACTACCACCACAGCCAGTTTTAAGCTTTTGCTGTGACATCATCCAATATGGAGTCCGTGGGGCATCACTGTGTGGTATGTTTGCCATACAGTTATGGTAAATGTAAGTAGTCTCAAGAGCACAGAAAATAAGGGAGTAGTGAGACAATCAGGAAGTGAGGAGTTTTGAATAGTTGTTACCTTTGTTTTCATTATAACTGTACATTTATATAACTTAATTTTTAGTGATGGCTGTGCTTAGTCAGCTTGTAGAATTCCTAAAATGTTTGACAACTGGTATAAAAACCAGCTCTAGCCCAGCAGCCTGGTCTTGGGCTGGGAGAAGAGTGGGGAAACAGGAGAAACAAAAGGGCACAGTTAACCCCAAAAGGCCTCTATGCCATTCAGTGTCCACGAATTCATAGAAATAGTGCAAGGTGGTATCGGTCAGGAGCCTGGGACTACGGGGTTAGACATGTGGGTTCCAGACCCAGCTCTGCTCTTTGCTGGCAGTGTGACCTTAAACAAGGTCCAAACTCTCTCAGCTCAAATTTCTCACTGGTACAATAAAAGTACCTGTTTCATAAGATTGTTATGGGGATGAAATGAGGATAATATATTCAAAGCATTCAACCTACTGTGTTACACATTAAACTTTCAATAAATGGGAGCCACGAGTACTGTTACTATTATTAACCTGGCCCATTTCTAAAATGTCCAAAGTAGCCACGGAGAGTAATGGGATCTATTTCAGATGCAGGTTCATGCCAAGACTGTTCAAGACAACCTTCTTTGTACAGGCCGACCTCCATCTCAGCAACGACTGTTTATGTAGACACAGCCTCCAAGGAGGACTGTCCACACCCCCTGAAAAGAATCATTCTCACAGATGCCTGGAGTTTAAGCACTGGTGACTCCTCTCTCGCTCTAAGTGGGGCTCTCGTCCTAGGCCTACTTTTAAAATCCATATACCCCTCAGAGGGTGAGTCATTAAGTCAGCACCTGGGTATGAATGAGGTCATGAGATCCCAGAGCTCTTCACCAATAGACTCCAGACTCTGGGAAATCTAAGAATGAGGATCCTGGAGCCCGAGGATGTGGACGACTCCACAGCCAGTTCCCGCTCCCACCACCCCACCCTCTGCTTCTAGGTTGACCAGTTCTTCCAGCTGAGCTGCCTTTAAGAGCAAATGCACTCCAGTCTCTCTCTCTCTCCCTGATCCCTCAGATATCCCAGAACAAAGACCGGGTTGAACCTTGGGACCATTAGTCCACTGAAGAGGTGGGAGGGAACACTGCTGAATATTTGGGGTCAGTCTTCCTTTTCCAAGAACACCAAATTTGTAGTCATTTGGTCGGGTTCTAATCATGGTCCTAACCACTTGGTGTGTGACCTTGGGAAGGTCATTTCGTGTCTCTGAATCTCTATTTTTTTCTAGTAAACTGAGGATGTCGTCAAGGATTTACTTAACCCGAGACTGGAATGTGGGAGCCATTTGTAGCGGTAAAGCTCACCACAGCACGCTGTTGGTGCTGTTTTCTCTTCTCTCGTCATTGTTTTTGGTTTGCTCTTTTTTCTTTAATTCCTCATGTGTGGCTACGAAGAGGGAGGCCTTCTGGGGAGCACCATAGATGGATGAAAAGGAAACATTCCTACCCTTTATTCTAGACATTCCTAAGTACCCAAAATACAAGTTCCTGTCTGGGGTCCCCCATTCATAATCCAGTCTTCTGTGCAATAATAACCTGAAGTTATTCCCAGTTTGGCTCAGGTAACAGCACAAGAAGAAGGCAGAGGTGATGTCTATAGGAATTCTAAGGCCCTGTGGACTGTAATTATATTCTCATTGAGGTTTTGTCTGTTGGTTTGTCTGGGGCACCTGTGATGCTACAGAAATGTTTCAGAGTAGCTGAGTATCAGGAACCAGGGGAGGAGCTGTGGCTTCTTGAAGTATGACTTACAGGCAAGGAGATCTGAGGTTTTGGGGAAGGGCCTGTGGATAAAGGAAGGAAATAAGTGAGCCCGTCTCTCCTGTGCTGGCCGGCCAGCCTCAACTTGTTCCCGGGCGTCTGTGTGGTTCAAGGGCAGAGCTGGTGCCCTGGTAGGATGTTCTGACAGAGTGAGCAGACTCCAACCGTTTCCTTGGGACCATGACCTGATGTTTGCCTCAGTTAGTGATACGATGTTTATGGGCCCCCTCGGGGCTCTAACCTGACCAAAGTTTGGCCCCACAATTTGGTCTCAGTGATTGCTGTGTGACTAGAAGGGGCTGGTTTAGGGAATCTTCTACTGACTGGCACCACCCTTCTGGTGCTTGGGGTGTGGATTGGCAGCAGAGGTGACTGGAGGATGATCTAATATTGGGGGGAAGGGTGTTGTGTTTCGGGATCAATTATTTTTAGTGGGGAAAAGACTGCTGATGGTGAACCAGGGCAAGTTGCCTGAAACTAAGTACTCACTTGGAGGGCTGCCCAGACGCAGCCGAGATAGCTGGGGTGAGGGAACGGGCCAGAGCCACATCTGCATGGCAGAAGGCTCACTCAATTCTGCTGAGTGTTGTGTGGGGTTTGGTGCCAGGCTCTTCAGCGACCAAAGCGTAGCCAAAGAAAACACAAACATTAGGAGGGAGAAGAGGGTATACTGGGAAGGCTGAACGGTGTTCACCTTTGAACAGAAGAGACAAAGTCCATTTAAACATGCTTACTCTCTTCAAATATACGAGAGAAACTTCTACAAGAAGGTGTTGAATTATTCTGACAAGCAAACATGAGGAAGCAGTCTATGTAGAGGCAAGATGGATTTTTGTCACCTTTCCATTCGCACTGCAACAGGGAGCTGGCAATAGCTGACCAGTGACAATGTTTGTATGCTGTAAGAAAAAGAAAGAGGACCTCCTCTCCCCTGCCCCAGGTGTGTGAGTCACCTCTGAACTCCAGAGGTCAGAGGTCCTGGCACACCCTCCCAATTCCTTGGGTCTGATGCCGAGTTATGATTCTGCTTTACGGGATATCAAGAGTAAAGTGGGTTTCTTCGCGTGTTACGGAAGAGTTCCGCCCCAGTGAAAGGATTGATGGATTTTACAATTTGATAATAAAACTCTCCGAGGAAAGAATGCCCTCCCAGAGGTGGGAGATTAATTTATCTTTTTTTCTCAGTGGCTTCTCTTCCCCCGCATCTTGCCTGTTCTTTTCTCCGACTTGCTCAACAGAGGGCAAAGAGGTTTTCAGGAGAGCACCATAAACATGAGGGCTTTGACCCAGCACAGGGAAGGACAGCCCAGGCTGATGGCAAGCCCCTGGCAGCCCGCCAACAGAGGTCCCCCTGGCAACCTCATGATGGGATGACCCCGGCAGCCCGGTGCCCTGGCCTTCAGAGGAGATCCCGTCTCGTCACATCCAGGCAGCTTAGCTCTGACCTTAAGGTTCCTGGGAAGATGTCAGAGTTGTGTCTGGCTGGTCTGAAACATAACTCTGAGCTGGCCAGGTCGCCTTCCCCAACCTGCTGTCCTCACATCTCAGAGGTAGCTCGGTTGGAAATAGGCGAAGAGAGAAGGAAAAAAGGATTCAGACGCTAAACCTCCTCTCAACCCCAACAGCCCGCTTCGTGGTCTCAGTGACTTTTGCTTATGTGGGAAGCAGTGGAGAAGGGCACTGGGGGTGCGGGAACTCACCATTCTGACTGCATCGGGTTACAAATGCTCTGTGAAGCTATACGGACAAATCAGGACGAGCCTCGCACCAAGATCATGAATCACAGGCTGTTTACCTACTCTAATGCCCACGGCAGACAAATACTAAATACCACAAAGTACCTGAGACAAAAAAAGAAAGGAAGGAAGGCGGGAAGGAGGGAGAAGAATAAAAAGAAGCCTGGGGTCCCGGCCTCCGGAGATTCCCAGGGACACAGGTAGAGCGTCTGGGGGCAGGTGGCTGTGCCCAAACGTCCAGTGGCCTCCGGCTTCACGTCTCGGCTTCTGACGGGCAGACCTCCGCAGCCATGATGGCGATCCCGATGGCCAGGCTGCCGTTGTCGGTGAAGAGCTGGGCCAGCGAGGTGTTGAGGACAAGGCAGTCCCCGTCAGTGATCACTGAGTCCACGCACTCGAGAACAGACCGGGGGGTGGCCTCCCATTTCAGACGCCGATGGTTTCTGTTGAGCTCCAGGCGATAGGTGAAGCAGTCGGCCTGGGTGGGGGTCCCGATCAGCATCATGGTGGCAAAGAACTGGGGGTGCCCTGCGTGCCTCTCCTGCTTCCTAAGCACCAGCAGAAAGTGGTGGCCCAGGCAGGAGTGCATGATGATCCAGTCGGCCGGTGCGGGCAGGTGCATGTCCGTGGCCAGGAAGACGATCTCTGCTCCCTGGAGGATGTCGACCCTGTGCATCTGCCGTAGATGGGGCACCACCACCTCCAGGTGGCCTTCCCACTGGCAGGAGAACAGGGGGCACATGCAGGGCGTCACCTGGGCAGCGTGCAGCCCTGCCTCCTGGTGGTGGAGGTGGTGCGGGCGAGCGTGGTGGCGGAGGTGATGGTGGGGACGGTGATGGCGGTGGTGGTGGGTGAGGTGGTGGGGGGGGAAGCTGCCTTGCTCTGGTGCGCTCTGAGCGATGGCACGGCGGCTGGACACATACTGTGAGAGAGAGAGCAGAGGGTTAGCGGCTGAGGCCAGTCTTTTGGCATCACGGAGGCTCCCCAGGTATGCCAAGGGTTAAAAACGGACATCCCAGGGCAGGTAGAGAAAGCTGGCTTGCTTTCCCTCCCTCTCACCCTCCCTCCCTCCCTCCCTTCCTTCCTTCCTCCCCTCTTCCTTCCCCCCTTCATGCCCCACCTGCCTCCCTTCCTCCCCCCTTCCTCCATCCTTCCCTCCCTCCCTCCTCCTCCCTCCCTTCCTTCTTTTCTTCCTCCCCCATCTTTCCTTCCTTACCACCCTTCTTTCCTCCCCCCCTCCCTTCCTTCCTTCTATAGAAAGGGGAGGGCAAAGGGAGAGGGAGAAAGTGAATCTCAAGCACCCTCCATGCTGAATGTAGAGGCTGACCTGGGGCTCAGTCTTACAATCCTGAGATCATGACCTGAGTAGAGATCAAGAGTCCGATGCTTAGTCAACTGAGCCCCCCAGGTGCCCAGAGAAAGCTTTATTTATTAAAAAAGGAGGGGACTGCCAGAGTGGTTTCCAAAGCGACGGCACCATTCCATGTTCTTGTCAGCCATGTAAGAGGACTCCAGTTTCTCTACGTCCTTGCCAACACTCGTGATTATCTGATTTGACAAGTGCTTTTATGAGACAAAATTAATTGTTTTGAGTGTTTTTCCAGATTTAGATGCTGAGACATTGTAAAGTCTTCTCCATGCTATTTCATTTTGGTATAGAATCTAGATTTTTTTTCCAATTAAAAAAAAAAATAGAAGCTCCTATAGAAGATTCCTCCTGAAAAAAAGAGATTTTCCAAATATAATAGTACATTAAAAAAAAAATTGAGGTAGGTGCCCTGGGTGGCTGCGATTCTAAATATTCAGTCCAAGAAAATACAATATTTATGTCTTGGTGATTCTTTAACAAGATATGGAAAGAAATAGGCAATGTCCCCCTCAACAGACATTATGATGGTCACTAGTCATAAAGAACAACAACAAAAAAAAGCAAAAAAATATTTTTTTTTTTCATTTTTGATACTGTTAATATTTTTGCACAGGCATTCGAGGTCAGGGGAATTTCTGCCTCCCTTTCTTGTCATTGTTATTATTTTTATTTTTTATATTTTTTAAAAGATTTTATTTATTTATTTGACAGACAGAGATCACAAGTAGGCAGAGAGGCAGGCAGAGAGCAAGGAGGAAGCAGGCTCCCCACTGAGCAGGGAGCCCGATTCAGGGGCTCCATCCCAGGACACTGGGATCATGACCTGAACTGAAGGCAGAGGCTTTAACCCACTGAGCCACCCAGGTGCCCCATCATTGTTATTATTTTTAGAACAAAATTTTGGTAAGTGCCCGTTTGTCCTTCCCGTGCGGCCAGGGGCTGTGCTATCTTGGGTGCCCTTCTCCCAGGCCCTGAGGTGGGGTGCAGAGCTGATTAGGTACAACGGGGCAGCCGTTCCCAGGGAGGGAGCCTCACTCTGATTCCTGGGACTTCACCTCACCACCACATTCTGCCCTGTTTCAAGCTCACAGCCCCAGAGCAGCTTCCTGGGGGCTCAACGCAAGGAGCCCTCCACCCTCAGACTCTCCTGACCTGCTCCTCATGGCGGTGTGTCCACGAATGCCCTCATAAACATGAGGAGCTGAGAGGGCTCCTTCTGATTGGGCATCGGTAGACATTTATGGAATACCTTCTATGGCCAGACCAGAGGGTGCTAGGGGTACAGCTGTGAGCAAAACAAACCACGTTTCTGGCTGTGGGGGGCACAGACATTAGGGTGCATATCATTAACTGTGATTTTCATGAGGGTCCTCCCTGTGACGGGAGGACTATGATTCATAGATTTCAGCTGAAGAAACACGTTCCCGTAGTAACAGTCCCAAGGTCACAAGGCTCATAAGTGAAAGACTGGTGTCCATTTGCACACCTCCTGACTCGGCACACAGCAGCTCTGTCCCCGCTTCCCCTCCCTGTGGTTATCCCTGCCTCCAGCCCCAGTTCCCTTCTGCTCTAGCGCTCCATGCACTTTTCAGAAGGACGACAGGTACCTTTGGGCCCCTGCCTCCTCCCCTCATTTCCTTCCCTCTCCAGCATGTAGAGGGTGAGGGTGAAGGTCTGCCCGGGTTTATAGTTGCCTGGGCTCCAGGCATGGCTGATGGTGGAGGCCTGGCTAGCTTCTCTTTCTTTAGGGCATCAGGGACTCCCCCAGTCCATGGCAGTCACACACCCACATGGTGCACCAGGCTGGTCCCCGTGGGGGCGAGGTGATCTGGAGGTAGGTGGGGGTGAAGCTAGCTCTGCTCCTGGAGTGGTTAGCTCCGGCTCTGCTTCCATGCTCTGCCCCCAGGGAATGCAGTAGACCTGTACTGGGAGCTCCTGGGGCCCTTTCAGGAGTCCTCTCCCAGTTTCTGGACAGAAGCTAATGGGCAGCCTGCTGTCACCCATCCTGCATGCCTACCAGGACCATGGAGGACGAGGCTGTGTTCTAGAATCCTGCTAGTGATGAATCTGACTTACCTTTAGGGTTAAATGTAGGAAGGGAACTAACTAGGATATAGCCACTACTAAGAATTAGGCAACAAAAAATTGGTGTTTTTTAAAATAATTGTTTCATTTAATTTTTAATTTCCTTTAAAAAAATAAAATTAAATCTGTCTTAGTTCCTACCTGCCTGCTGGTGGCATGTACCATTTAATCTGTGGGTGAGGAGGAGTTCCTCCCATCCCTTGGGGTTGTACAAAGCCCAGGGCTGACATACTCTGTCAGCCAGGGGCCAGCCCCTGCCCAGATCCTTCTAGAGGACTCAGGCCTGGCAGCTAGGCTCAAGGCAGCCTGGTCTCAGCCTCCCAGGGAAAGCCCCAAGCTCTGTCCCCTCTTCCAGCCTCTAAAAAGCTCCTCTTTCTTACTTTGTCTTTACAACAATCACTAGAGAAACACTACATTTGTCTTACCAATGAAGAAACACAGAGGTTAAATCACTTGCCCAAAGTCACAGGACTCATAAGGGGAGCAGCCAGGAATATAGCCCATATCAGTCAAAGGTGACACAGATCACAGACTGGAAAGATCACAGGCTGGATGTCAGCCGACTTCGGTCTCTTTTGCTATTTACTTGTCCAGCAGGCCCGATTAAGTCAGTTTCCCTATCAACAAAATATTTCTCTCCAAGGGTGGTTTGGGGATCAAATGAAATCATGCCTGTGACACAGCTTTAATAAGGACATCAAGGATTACATCAAGATGGCATTTCCATTTAGATGTGATTTGGGGTGATTACTCTGGTGGCCTTCTGCCTTGGTCTGTGCCTGCCTCTGTCTGCCCTGGTCCACTGATCCTTGCACTTGCGGAGCACTCTGGGCTGAGCACAGGCCAACATAAGGGCTCAGAGACCCCATCATCAGCTTGCCCTGAGGTCTCCTGTCACAACACCGACCCATGACAACAGACCATCCGGAAATTCCTCTCTCAGAAATGGGTCTCTGAGCTCATTATTCTCTATAAACCCTTCTCCTCATCTGTTTTCCATTTCCTGTATCCTGCTCTGTACAGGTAATATCAGACACATGAACTCAGAGTAGGGAGAGGGTAGGGAAGAAAGACCCTGGTGTCCCTTTCTTCCCTCCCTCCAAACTCCTGCCAGCACCTCCCATTGGCCAAAGCCAATCAGAGACCTATCAGAAGGGAGCCCAGAGATGCACTCAACAAGGACCGGCTCCCTTTAAAAAGGGTGCTGGGTGAGACGCACAGGTGAAGAGGGAATGCCCACCTGTACGTGAATGTCTCTGTTCCCTCCTCTGTGGTATTTGCTGATCTGACCAGGCTGGGCCTCCTGGGCTGAAATTTGATGAGGCTGATAGAGGGGGGAGATGGTTGCGTGCCTACAATTTATTTAGGCATTTGATAAAAATGTACGCAGCCCATAATATGGACAAGGGGCTGAGAATTCCTGACGGAGTAAGACCCATGTTCCTGCCTCAGTAGCTCACTCTGAGTTTGTGTAATGTGGAATGCAAAGCTGCAGGACACGGGGGTGGGGGTGGGGGTGGGGGTGGGGCTCTGAGTACAAAGTAGGGGAGGTAGTTGTTCCAGTCAGGGAGAAATGACATTTACGATGGGCAAGGCGTGGAGTGGATGCCCTAACAAAATAGGCCAAAGGTTTGCTGATGAGGCAATCAACAGAGATGACAAGTCCCAAGGGGCTGGGTAGATGGGGGCTGGTAGAGACGGAGCAGAGGCGGCCCGAGTGCTGGAGAGCAGTTGAGAAACCAAGATGGCACCAGTGCTCAGGGGAAGGCATTAGGAGGGCCTGGGAGACACAGCTTCATGCCTCAGAGCTCTCTTGTGCGCTCAGGATGGGGCTGGTGGCAAAACCCCACACTTGTCCAAGCACAGGACCTTAGCAATGGCCGTTCCACATGGACTCTCTGTTGCTTCCTTTTGGCCTCATCTTCCACTAGCCTATTTTCATTTTTTAATTGCTGCAGGCAGACAAAGCCGGGGGCATCATCCAAAGTGAATGACTGTGCAAATAGAGCACGACATTATAAACTCAGTGAGCCCGGGCACTTGCTGTGCCCTCAGAAGGCTCTGAGAATAAACATCGCCTTAATTCTTCACTTTGTCCTGCTCCATTTTCTGATGTAAAATATATTTCATTGAAATGATCCTGGGGTGACTGAGGTCACAGGGCTCCTGGCAGGGAGAAAAGGATTCTTTTAATTGGCAAAATGCTAATGGTTTTGGAAAATGAATTCTAATCTTCCCATCTAATACAGTGGATGTGTGAGTAATTACTTTTCTTCACTAAACTGTTAATGCAACATTAGTGATTACACTAATTAAAACTAATGAACTCTTACAGACTGATAAACTCCTCAGTCAGTCAGTGGACGCCTTCCTCCCATTGGCTGTATTTAACTTCCCGTTTGGAAGAGAGATCTTGAATTAACCTTTAGAATAATGTACAAAATTGGGTTTAGAAGTGTTAGGCTTTA